TTGTTCCTAGTAGCGATGCCCTTGTTACTAGTAGCGATGCCCTTGTTCCTAGTAGCGATGCCCTTGTTACTAGTAGCGATGCCCTTGTTCCTAGTAGCGATGCCCTTGTTACTAGTAGCGATGCCCTTGTTACTAGTAGTAAGAATGCTACTAATAGTAGGGCCAGGAGCCCCTAGTAGCTTCTTGTTACTAATAGTAAGAATGCTACTAGTAGTACGGCCAAAAGCCCCTAGTAGCTTCTTGCAACTAGTAGTAAGAATGCTACTAGCAGTGCGGCCAGGAGCCCCTAGTAGCTGCTTCTAGTAGTACGGCCAGGAGCCCCTAGTAGCTTCTTGTTACTAGTAGCACGAATGCTACTAGTAGTACGGCCAGGAGCCCCTAGTGGCTTCTTGTTACTAGTAGTACTACTAGTAGTGAGATTGCTACTAGTAGTACGGCCAGGAGTCCCTGGTAGCGTCCTTTGCTCCTAGTAGCGATGCCCTTGTTCCTAGTTTTCAAAGGAAGTTTAGAGAAACTTCCGTGTTACGAACATTTACAACACTCATCATACACCACTCATCATACACCGCTCATCATACACCACTTATCATACACCACTCATCATACACCACTCATCATACACCACTCATCATACACCACTCATCATACACCACTTATCATACACCACTCATCATACACCACTTATCAGACACCACTCAGCATACACCACTCATCAATCACCACTCATCATACATCACGTGGCAGGCACAGCACTTTTGTGAACCTCGAGGTGCAGAGTTCGTGGCAGGCACAGCACTTTCTGAACCTCCATGTGCAGATTTCGTGGCAGGCACAGCATTTGTGGAGCTGGAAGCTGAGAACTGGCGACTTTGTAGCACAAGTACGCGGAGTATCTGCGGAGCTGGAAGATGAGAACTGGCAACTTTGTAGTACAACTTCTAGTGCGCGGAGCAATCTGTGGAGCTGGAAGCTGAGAACTGGCGACTTTGTAGTGCAACTTTAGTACGCGGAGTATCTGGGGAGCTGGAAGATGAGAACTGGCGACTTTCTAGTACAACTTTAGTACGTGGAATAATCTGAGGAGCTGGAAGCTGAGAACTGGTGACTTGGTAGTACAACTTTAGTACGCGGAATATCTGGGGAGCTGGAGGCTGAGAACTGGCGACTTTGTGCTACAAGTTTAGTACGCGGAGTATCTGGGAGCTGGAAGATGAGAACTGGCGAC